ATGCTATTAAAGAGGGTCATTAGACTGTAATTATTCACCTTAGGTCAGACATTAGTTTTGATGTCTAGGAATGAATATTTTTAAGGTAGGCTTTTTCCTAGCTTGTTGTTTGAGTGGGGATCTTAGCATCCACGTCCCAGCTCCTTCCCCAAATAAGCTATACTGATATCATCCCTGTTCTCAGCTGTGAGGCCAATGACATCTTGGAAGTGAGGCTCTCAAAGCATCAAGTCTACTTGATGTGGCTGGTCACTCCCAAAGCAAATGAGGTCACCAATGGAGCTTTGATATGAAAAATGAAGAAACCTGATACGAGTCTATCCTCCCCTAAATAGAGAAACTCAGAATTGGTAAAAAGATCTATCAGGCATCATTTCTAACCACTGACTCAAAATAGTTTTCACATAATTCAGTCTGCTAGGTTCCAGGATGTAGTTAAGAGTTGTAGAGAACTGGTGAGGATAATTCCAAGAAAACAGACAATCTCATTGACATCCAGTGGACAGATGTATCATAGCACGGTTATAGAGGGACAGAGGAATGGGAAATAACAGAACCAGGACGGTACAATCATGCCACCCATCTTCAATTTCCAGTTTTATTTTTTGAAAATGACACAATGATAAAACTTCTAAGAAGCACCATTGAGAAACGTTGCCCGGCCAATTTGGGCACGGGCTTAAATATTATTTAAATAATTCCATTTCTTAAAAAATACAGGACCTTTTCGAACCTTTTGACTCCAGGAAGAAATTTCCCACATCATATCCAAAATGCTTCCCATCACAACAAATGGAATTTCTGATGGCCTTTAAAAAAAAAAAAATGCTATGGGGATAATGGCCATATAGCACCAGGAGATCATGCAGGGTCTACAAAGTGAGCACTCCGGATTTCAGGGCAGCTGGATCAGTCCCAGCTATTTTGTGTAACTTTGCATTCTGTCCATCACCAATTTGACTATGCAGAGTGATCCCATTTGACCAGCTGTGTGTAAAATAACCCAATCTGCAAAGCCAAAGCCAGTAGCAGCAAGTCTATCTGATGAAACCAGTGGAGCAGACTTATCAAGTGAGTATAATGCCAAAACCAGCACATAATGCATGAAGTAAATTATGTGTGGAAAGGATCAATGTTCAACTGTGAAAAACTAAGACAAACGACACTGAATACAACTCTGCGGGATGTTCTTAATGCCCTTAGGTCCACTTTTCTGTCATTTCCCCCAACGGTGGACTCAAGCATGAAAAATGACAGATGCAAGAGCTTTCTCTTTGATTTTGACCTATGTCTGCTCTTGTGATGTTTTTGAAAGGTATTTTTAGGCGTCTCAAAGGGGAAACAAGCAAGTAAATGCAAAGGGGAAAAAAATGGACCTTCAAAACCAGGGCAGGAAATCAAATCATTACTTTAACGTCAAATTTTGGCATCAAATGCTTTGGTCATACAATACTGTCTCTGTGGTTCTGGCTGTTTAGCACTAAACACCCAGTTATAAAAGGTAGGCTTGTTGTAGGTTTATTTTTTTTTTTTTCCATTTAAGTTCTGACAAAACAGTTCACCATCTCCCTGCACAAATTTGAGAGAGAGAGAAAAAGAGAGCAAAAAAGAGAGAGGTGGCTTGCTTTTTTTTTTTTTGCTTTGTTTTTTTTTCTTTTTAATAATAATACGGAGTAATCTATAAGTCTACAGGAACAGAGAAATCTAAGATGGCCGCTCAGCCTTGGAATGTACATGTTTTGCAGCAAAGTTGTTGAAGAACCTTCCTCTGGCACAGATTGTTCTTTTTCACTAGCATACAGAAGCCTCCTTCCGCCCAGGACTCCTCCGTTGCTTTTCCAGGAAGTCAGCAAGACAGAGAGGGGAGTTGAGGACGAGAGCAGCATGATGTACACGCGGAAGAAGGTTTTGATTGGCCAGAGAGGCAGATGGGGGGGATTGGAAGAGCTCATTGAGGAGCAGTCAACAAGGAGGAATTTGGGTCCAGCCAAAGGGATTTCAGTCAACAGCATTGTTTTTTTCAAGGAGAGAGATTGCGGTCCAGTGGTGAATGGGATTGATGTCCATTTATGAAAGGGAAAAAAAGGATTCGAAAAAAGAATAAATTAGAAATCAATAATAATATAAGCAAGGAATTTGTCTTCTCAGAATTACCTAGAGCAGAGAGTATACAGTCATTTATACTATATTTCATTGAGTCCAAGACATTGGATTTAAGATGCACCATTATTTTAAGTATTAAGAAAAAACATGCTTCATGCGTCTTATTACATGGTGACCCAAGAGTCTCCTTAATTAGAATATTAATTTTATGCTTATTTGGAAATATTAGTTATATAACAGGCTGTTTTGTTTCTGTGCTTATACAAAAACTCTATCTCTGAATATTAAACAATTAGTTTTTGAAGCTATTTTGAACTACAGTTAAATTCAACACAAGAAGTGGTAACCATGTGCCTAACTCTGTGACAAAGTCACAGGCAATGACAGCTATGTTGCATCAACCTATTGGACAGAAGTGGTTGTAAGCTGCCATAAATTATAAGATGCATCTGCCTTCAGGGATGTTAAAATGTAAAAAAAAAAAAAAAAAAAAGTATGTCTTAGAATCATTGAAATATGACAGTTGAAAGAGAATAAATCACAAACCCACAAATGCAATCAATATGTGATTTGAAAAGCCTGGTGGAGCCATCGGTGATCTTATTATTTAGCTGACCTAAGGTGGGCTCTCTACAAATCACGATTCTTCAGTTTCTACTCTTGCCCACAATTCTGGACACCCCATTTCTACCAAAGTGTGCCACCTGGCATAACTTATCCCAAGTTTACCATGATTTAGAGAAGGCAGTTAAAGCATTACAAACATGGCCAGGCCTGGCACCAAGTGCTGTGGGTGAAATTTCAAGTGACTGTGGGTCTTCTGAGTCTAGAAAATCATCCTCTGTTTCCTGTCACCAACTTAAAAATTCTGGTCAGATCCAGCTATGGAGGAACCATGTTTTTAAGTAAAAAGTGATACTTACATGGTCCCTGGAGTGCCATCACCCCAACCCTCTATCCCCGTGTTGTGTGGAGAGAACACAGAGCCCGAGTGGGTCTGGCCCATCCCTGCTAGACCAATCCTACAGCCAAGTAGCCATGAAGACGCAAAGTCACCTATGATGCTCTGTGGAGACCATAGATGATGCTCTACAAGTATCATCGTGTGTCCTCTTCTTTCAGATGCCTTTTTGAAATTCCTCATAGGAAGTTTTAGAATAACCATACAAGGTCAATGGTATTAGCCTCCTCATTTTTACAGATGAGGGAAGTGAGACCCAGAGAAGTTTATCACCTGCCCAAGACCTGGAGCCCAGAAAGGAACGACAGTATTCTGATTCCTGAATCCATATTCTGACAACCAAAGCACTGTTCTACCTCTTGTGAAATTTCTAGGAGAGGGCCCATTCAAAGGAAGGCAGAGAATAAACCAAGGGAAGTCCCTTGTCCAGGAAGACTGTTCCAAGTGCACTTTTTTTATTCTATTTTCATAACAGTCCAAAGATATTTAAAAATAACAATGGTTCGAAATGATTTCTTTCTAGGTCGCTGAGATGCATGTCTGCATAAAGTTCAGGCTCAAATTTTAGGGCTCCCTCTGTGTGAATTATACTGTGAGTCAAAATTTATAACATGTTAAAGTTGGAATAATTTAATTTCATTCATTTATAAATGGGGAAGCTGAGGCTAGAAAACTGGGAGAACTTGGCATTTGCCAAGTTGTCAGGGGGAATGGAGTAAGGCAGAGATTCCCAAATCTGGCCACACATTAGAAACACTTGAGAAGTTTCTAAAAATATCCATGGTTAGATAGCACCCCAAGAATGTCTGAATCTTTGGAGAAAGTGTGCGGTCCTGGCATTTTGGTTGAGAACCACGTGTGTGAAGAAAAGAAAAATGGACCGTTTAGAAGTCTTAAGTTCTACACTTAGGTCTATCGTTAATTCCTTGCCTCTCAGGTTTAATGAAAGATTCAGGTAGCATTTGATTATAATTTACTTACCAAAAATTTAAATTATCTAAATAAAAGGAGTGGCAATAAACTGGCATCTTCACATGATAGAATTTTATGCTGTAATTAAAAATGAAGTTTCTGAGGACTTTGTAAACACAGGACGAGGTTTATGTCTAATGTTTAGTACAAAAAGCAGGATACAAACCTCCATGTACATGGTATTTAAAAAATCTGGGCAAAAGTACAGATGGCAAAAGATGCGAAAGAAACACATGAAAAAACTAATAGGAAAAGGTTGCCTATTCCAAGTATATGACATTCTGGAAAAGGTAAATCTATGGAGACAGTAGAAAAAATTAGTAGGTTCTGGGGCTGGGGGGAGGGAGGGAGGAAGGGAAGAGCACAGAGGATTTTTAGGGCAGTGAAAGTGTCCTGTATGATTATTACAATGGTGGATACGTATCCCTATTCATTCATTCTTTCATTCTTTCATTCATTCATTCATTCATTCATTCAAACTCCTAGAATGTACACCACCAAGAGGGAACCCTAATGTGAACCATGGATTTGGGTGATAATGGTGTGTCAGTGAAGGTTCACTGATTATAACAAATGTAACTAGTCTGGTGTAGGAGGCTGATGGCGGGGGGGATGCGGCAGAGGTGTGTGCGTGGGTGGGTGTTGCCGGGCGGCAGTTGGCATATATAGGATCTCTCTGTACTTTCTGCTTAATTTTGCTGTGAACCTAAAACTCTAAAGTTAAAAAAAAAAAAAACTGGTGCCATCTTGGCCAATGGAACTATAGGTGATTTACTTCTTCTTTTAATTAAAAAAAACCAAACACCCAAACCAAAACCCATTGAGGGTGTGAGTTCAAGATGAACGAGGTATTGGGCATGTTCTATCTGACTCAGGCTTGATAGTTTACGTGGAAATACACTTGATCTCAACCTAAAAAGAGGACCCTGTGTTCAGAGGATCAGAATGAACAGTTTGTACTCACCGTCCTTGCAGATGGCACCCATCTGACATGTCCCTAAGTCTAAGAGATACCCGCTGAGGCAGCTCGTGCAGTTCTTGAACCCTGGACCATTGCATGTCAAGCAGGTAGCATCACATCTATGGGGGAAAACGTACAGTTCATGCTTTCACGCATCAGGCGCAAGAAAAGATGTTTGCTATCAGCCTCTTAAGGACGTTTGAAACCTAATTCCCCCTTTGAAGACGACACAGAAACCTCTTCTGACCATAATTGCTACCTTTAACAACATTAAAGAAAGCCCAGCAGGTAGACTGATTTTAAATGGGAGAACACATTGTACTTGAAACCGAAATATTACTTTCCAGGTTTTAAAGTGCTCCTGAGACAAAAACAAAAAAGTACTCAAGAGAAGTTGGGTGAAAGCAGCAGGGCAGGTTTCTGCTTTCAGCTTTCTGGTTTGGAAACTTAGGTCATCATTAGTAATCGTTTTGTTTTATGAAGGCTGTCAAATAAGGAAGCCAGTGATCACGAGCTACGGCTGGAGGGGCGGATCCACTTACTTTTTGCAGGATTTGTATCCGTTCTCTGAAGGGTGATCAAAGTAGTAGCTGAGACTGCAGCTCTGCACGCATCTCCCATCCTCCATGAAGTAGCCTTCTGTGCAGTTAATACACCCGTCAGCACCCGGCCCTGAAAGCAAGACAAATGTGGGAAACACAAACAAAATCTCAGAGGAGCTTGCACGATGGGCTGCTTCTTGTGTAGTTGGTGAAAAGGGCATGAATAGGTTGTCATGTTAAGAGTCACAATTTCACATTTGTGCTTTCTCTTATGTTCTGTGGGAAAAAAAAAAAAACGCCCCCATTTTAAATTGAACCCATTTGCCAAAACCATCACATCTCTTTGGAAAGAGGAGGAGATCTCATTGGGATGTTTCAGGGTCGCAATAGGGACAGAATGCCCACGGCTGACTTTCTCTGAGAATCCATGCAGGAGTGCCGGAAGAGAATTAGGTTTCTCCAGCATTTACTTTAACCCTATCTGGGGGGTCTGTAGGAGTGATGGCTAACCACAAGTCAACAAACAGCAAACCAGAGCCAGAGGAATAGACAGTAGGACTGGGGGACAAGGTACCAGCGCAGGTGGCACAGAAGCGGTGACAGGGCTGACAGTCCTGGCCATTGAAGTACTGCCCGTCCTCACAGGTGATCGAGCACCGGGATCCCTGCAGGCTGAAGACAGAAACACAGATGCTGTGGTCAAGGCAAAGAGGGCATAGTTCCTCAGCTCCATACACAACAAATAGAGCGTCTCCCAGAGACCCGTGGTTTGGCAAAGCTTCAAAGCGGGGGGGAAATCGTCCCGTACCCCTTCTTTTTTCCTTCCCCGATGCCTATCCTGCTTCTCTGCCCCTATGATCGTGTCTGTAGCTTGTATGCGTGCTGCAAGCTTCGTGGACCTTCTTTGCTCTGCACCTTACCCACCCAGGTGTTCCTAAAAGTATCTTACTGACGAAACTCACGACCTAACAATAGGTCTGACAACTCTGATAACCAGCCCTATGACATAATAAATTTAAGAGTTGTTTTGTAATCATAAAATGTAGTAGGAACACAGGGTAATGAGTTACAACTGAATAAAGGGCATGATGATCTCTGGCCCGCCCACACTCCCAGGAGTAGGTCCTTTTGTTCTTCTTTCTGGTTTTAGTTCTTCTACTGGTTCCCATCAGAACCACACAATTGCCTCTATCTCCTGATTTATTTTAAATGCTAATGAATAATTTCATAAAATGACCTGCCTATACAGCTGATTCCCCAAACACCCTAACTTTTCTTAATTGTATGATTGTTTCCAGGTGTTCTCTCTACCATACTTACTCTATTTGGCACTCCTGGTATCTATTATAGTTGCCAGATGTTGAATGAGAAATGCCTATTTTTTCTCCTTTGTAATATCTATCAATTATGATAGCTTTCATAGTGTATAGATCAATTCTTAAAATTAAAAAACACAGAATTTAGGACCTTTAATCTACAAATATTGCTCACTATTGGAACAACAGATTAGCACCTGTAAACCTATGTCACCAAATAGACGATACTACAAGATGGGTCTTTAAGCAACAGGGTCAAATGGTTTTTATTCTCTTAGACTCTTTATATTGCCCCAAGTCACATCTTAGTTGACTGTGCTTTGTATTTGGATCACACTAACTTGGAAAAGTAAAATTTATTTTTCCCTATTGGAAAGAACAAAAACAGATAAAAACGGATCCCAGAGAGTCCTGTTAACGTTGTAATCCACTTCCTTCCAGCATTTTACGTGTATGTATTTCTGTTTGTTCTTAGCCACTCTTGAAAAATGTATAGGTCTCTCGAGGCAAACTGGTCAACCCTCAAAGCCTCTAAGGAAGAGGCAGGCAGTCTCAAGGAGACACAGGGCAGCTTAACTGAAGGTGTATTCCATTCACAGACTTGACTGGCCAGGGAGCGACGTCATTGAAAAAGCCAATAAAAGAAAATCCCTTCCCTTTCCGTAGAACTGGAAAAAAGGACATTGCATCAAATAGATCCTTTTGTGGGAGGAAACAGGACCACCAAAAAACTTATCAGAGTTAAAAAAAAACAAACAAAAAAAAAACCTGCCTCATTTTTCTAGTACAGGGCATTCCTTCTGAGGTTGGCATGTGTTGAGCATGAGACAGAGGCTGCGCTGTGTGAGGAAGCAATGAATGTAAGTGGGTCCTGCAACAGAGAGCAGGCACTGTGTGCACCCCAAAGCCACCTGCTGCTTCCAAAACAGAGTGGTGGTGTGGCTAACCCTCCTGTACGGTGGACACCTGGGTTCTGTCTGTGATCAACTGGCTGGGTTGGAACTGTGCTGTCCCACATGCTTCAGCACCCGTGGCTCCTGAGCACTTAAAATGTGGTTAGTGTGGCCCAGGACTGGAATTTTAAACTTTAGTTTGAATTTCAGTCTAAATTTTACAAATTGGCCCTTGGTTCAGTTACTGGCAAAATTCTGAGTAAGTTTAGAACCAACCTGGCTATATAAAATCTACTTTGACTAAATTTTGTAAAATCCAAGTACAGACCAAGTATTTCTTATAAAAAATTACTGTCCAAGTTGAGATGTGCAATGTACTTTCTGGGCTAAAATGCACACCAGATTTCGAAGACTTGGTATAACAACAAAAAAGAATGTAAAACATCTCGCTAGGTCTTTTATATTGATTATATTTTGAAATGAAAATATTTTGGATATATATGGTTAATATTTTTTTAAATTTTACCCATATCTTTTTACTTCCTTTAATGTGGCTACTGGCATATTTAAAATAAAAGGAACATATAGGGCTCTCATATTTCTTTTGGAGAGTGCTGGTTAACGTACTCTGTGAAATGTTCCCTAAGAAGCACAGTTGACTTAACTCTTCAACAACATGGGTTTGAACCGCATGAGCCCATTTCTAAGCGGATTTTTTTCGGTAAATAAAATACAGTACTCTAAATGTATTTTCTTTATAATTTTCCTAACATTTTCTCTTCTCTAGGCTTATTGTAAGAATACAGTATAGAATACATATAACACAAATGCGTTAATTGACTGTTATTTGTAAGATTTCCAGTCAACAGTAGTAATCAGTAGTTACATAGTTAAGAGTAACTTACGGAGTTAAAAGTTATATGCGATTTTCAACTGTATGAGGTTGCGGCCCCTAATCCCTGAGTTGTGCAAGGGTCAATTGTATAGACAGTATCGTAAATAATCTTTTATTTCTCAGGGACCAATTATGTGTCTGATACTGGAAATAAGTACTTTCTAAATGTTATCACAGTTGATCCTTTTCATAATTCAGCAATGTAGGGGTTATTATCTCATTTTATAGGTAACAAAACTGAAGTTCAGAGTGGCTCAGTGACTTGACCAGGATCCCACAGCTGATTAATAGAAGAGGGTTTGAGCCCACATCTGTCTTGTCTCCCTTCTTTTTATTATCTCAATCTGCTCCTTGTCCAAAAAGAATGAGGGGGCTGACTAGACTGATATTTATCAAGACTGGAAGTCTTGAGATGCAAGGTGCTTAAGCAGATTAATACTGAATGCATTTATGAAAAAACCCACAGGAAAAAAATATATTAGAACATCATTTTCATTTAGATTAAGATTTCATTTATTTGAGAGAGCAAGCGAGTGAGCATGAGTGGGGGGAGGGGCAGAAGGAGAGGGAGAAGCAGACTCCCCTGGCTCAATCCCAGGACACCGAGGTCATGACCTGAGCCGAAGGCAGATGCTTAGTTGACTGAGCCACCCATGTGCTCCGATGTTCTGGTATTAACTAATATGAAGAAATCACCTGCCTGGAGCCTGTTGAGTTCACCTCTCCAATTAAAGGTGGAAACAGAGGTATTCTCAATACTTAAAAAGATCGGAGTGCTGCAGATTTGTGGCTCTCTGTAAACTCAGGGTCCAACTCCTTACCCACCGGAGGATGGTCTGACCTTCTCTGTGGATATCAGGAGGCTACCTAGTTCATTTGAGCCGTGTCTTGTTCTCTTGCAGAATCTATCAGCTATCTGGCTTTTGCAATGAGCAAGTCATCCAGTCAAGAAAAACATCTCCAGGTGTTAAATCTATGAGCATACCAGAGCATAATGGAACCAAGCCTGAGGTACTTAAGATAAGAGGATGATTGGCTATATGGAGAGAAATAATAAGGGAAGAGTTTCGGACCATCAAAGGAATGAATCAGGAGGATTAAATATAATTCATTGTATTACCTACGCGGTAATCCTTGACAGGGGCACTGCGCTGGTCAAAAAGCACTGAAAAAGCCTCACAAATAGCCATTTTTATTTATGTGTATCAGAGCCATATTTTCTGAAGAGAATTTCATTTGGTTTATAAACCAAATGATGGCATCCAATTTTTCACATACAATGGTAAAGATAATGCAAATAGCAATCAAGTGTTTGAATGGGAGTCAAACCAAGGTGATGGTAAGAGGATTATTTATTTACATATTTTATTTATACTGAGATGCTCCTTGGGCTGTGTGACTTGAAAGGATCCTTCACTCTCTTACCTTAACCCATCCCTACATTCTGTACAGTTGTGGAATTCAGTACATGTCTTGCAGTTTTCACTGCATTTCCGGCAAAGACTTTTCTCTGTTAAAAAAACAAAAAAACAAAAAAACATACAAATGTAACAAGGTTATAAATCAGTTGGTCAGTTGGATTCCATAAAAGGAGGTGGAGACATTCTAATGTTTGCTAATGTACACGATAGTACACATACGTGGCCTTGAGCAGACTATTTCGCAAACAGCCCCGCATGGAACATTTGCTATCACTTTTCAGCGAAGTGAACAGCGGTAGGAACCTGCAGTGATGGGAAATGCCTGATATCTACCAACCATTTTGCAGACAAGGGAACCACAGCCCATTTAACTCTTAGTCGAATAGCTGACTGGCTTTTTCCCCTCTTCTTTTTCTCTCTCCCAAGGCGGGTTATCTAACTTCCAACAATGACAATCCCACTAACAAAGACGCTGGGGCAATGCCAGGATGTAAAGGTGTAAGCGATGCTTGGGGCTGTGGAATGGAAAGGTGGGCCCCCATGCTCACAGCTTGTAGGACCACTCTGAAGAACACGGCCAGAAAAGGGAATCTGCATTTATGATGGCAGGGTAAGGGTTGATGATGTGTTTCTTGTATTGTCTAGAATAGTGTCGCATACTTTATAGTGGCTGTGACATTGATATGTTATTATAGTTTAGATAATGTCTGTATTCTGGAGAATAGAAATATATGGATTGAAACAAATATACCATGAATATGGTTTTCCTGTGTAATACCAAAGACTGATCCCCACTGGAAAAAAATGGCAAACGCATGCTTACTCTACAGTGAAAAATGGTGATTTGTTACATTAACTTAAGGCCTTTTACCTGAGGCAAAATTCTTCTGGAGACTTGATACCTTCTCTGAGGTGCAAGTGGATTATAACCACATATATGTGTAGGATTGAATAAGCTTTGTTCATAGGCTTCTTTTCCTCCATCTACTCTTTATATTTTGGCGTTCTTCAAGGTTCCATAGAGGAACACTGCTTTAATGGATTCCTATAGGGACCTCTTGAAGGTCCACTTCCTTTCTCAAGTCTGAGCACCCCCCCACCATGAAATATGAAGTCCTTTATAATCTTATGGTAGTCTTCAGATGGTCCCCTTCTCACTCTGCCGTTGAGACTCCTGGACATGGCATAGGATCTGAAGTCCAAGGACCTAGATTTGAATTCTGCTTTTAGCATTTCCAGTGGGCAAGTTCAGGGTCAATAGATATTTCAGTGATGCCAACCTCTCAGTTTGTCTTGAGGGGATAATGAAATTACTCAGGGGAACTATATGAACTTGAAAGCACTGTAAATGTGTCGGCAGTAATTATTACTTGTCATGATTATATCTGATCACTATGTTTTCAGGAGGAAAATATAACAAAAGTCAGTTACACGAAGGAGAGAGAGAGGCAGAGACAACTCATATCAGCAAAGCCAGGGTTTGAACAGCCTTCCTTCACTACATACCTCCCAGGCTCTGGGGAAACAACTGAGTCTCAATTATCTTGATCCTGTTATATACCACCTCGAACCAAATTTCTTTTCCGAGATTCAGCCTTCTTGATAGAATTTTGAATTTTTTCTTCAAGAAATACTGCTTATTTCTGGGGATCCCTCAGACTCCCCTCCCCACTCTTTCTCTATCAGGCTGTAGCTCATGTTCCAAATTTGGGGGGAAAAGGAACTACAAGGACATCCTACCCACGGTTCTATAGGGTAAGCTGAGACTCCATCTGCCTCGTGGACAAATGCCTGCCTTCGAGTCAAGGGACTTGGACTTCTTAAGAAGCAACAGTATCCACTTCAAAATTCTTGCCTGATTTCTGAAAAACAACTCTTGTTCATTTAAACTTGGGTTTTCTTCTTTCTTAGGTTGTGCCGAAACAGGAGATAATCAGTGTCATCATGTATTATGGTGTGACACACTTGTTAATTACCGAGAATTCAGAAATAAAGGAAAAGGGCGCTACCAGAGCACGAACAGGTAGGAATGCCCAAGGATTACTTAATTCTCCAGGGAATATACCTTTGTCTGTTTCCTAATGACAACTGATTAGGGCCCAAACTCCACGAAGTGACGTGTTCATTTACAGATTTTTGTTTGGTACAGTTGGAAAGGATTTCTGTGTGGAAAAAGCCCCCCAAATTCAATTTGTATTGCCATGTAGGAAATTATTCATTTCTTAACTGAAGTATAAATAACAATGTTATATTAGCTGGAGATATAGAATATATTGACGATTCTATGTATTACTCAGTGTTGACCACGGTAACTGTAGTCCCCATCTGTCACCATGCAATGGTATTACAGTATTATGGACAGTATTCCCTAGCTGTACTTTTCATCTCTGACTTCCTTATTTTATAACTGGAAGTTTGTACCCCCCCTTTATCTTTTTGGCCCGTCCCTCCACCCACCTCTGCTCTGGCCACCACCAATTGTTTTCTGTGTTGTAAGAGTCTGTTTATTTTTTGTGTGTTTGTTAGCTTCCACATACAAGTGAAATCCTGTGGTATTTGTCTTTCTCAGTCTGATTTATTTCACTTAGCGTAATACCCTATAGCTCCATCCATGTAGGCACAAATGGCAAGATCTCACTCCCTTATATGGCTGGGTAATATTCCACTGTGTGTGTGTGTGTGTGTGTGTGTATACCACATCTTTTTCTTTCTTTTTTTTTTTAAGTTTTTAATTCCAATATAGTTAACATACAGTGTTATATTAGTTTCAGGTGTATAATATAGTGATTCAGCACTTCTATATATCACCCAGTGCTCGTCATGACAAGTGTACTCCTTAATCCCCATCACTGGTTTCACTCACCCTCCCACCCCCCTCCCCTCTGGTAACTATCACTTTGCTCTCTATAGTTAAGAGTCAGCTTCTTGGTTTGTCTCTTTTTCCTTTGATCATTTGTTTTGCTTCTTAAATTCCACATGTGAGTGAAATCCTATGGTATTTCTCTTTCTCTGACTGACTTATTTCACTTAGCATTATATTCTCTAGCTCCATCCATGTTGTTGCAAATAGCACTATTTCATTCTTTTTAATGACTAATACTCCATTGTGTATGTGTGTATGATGAATGGATAATCCTTCTTTATCCATCCATCTATCTATGAACGCTTGGGTTTCTTGCATACCTTGGCTAATGTAAATAATGCTGCAATAAACATAGGGGTGCATATACCTTTTTTATTTAGGATTTTTGTATTCTTTGGGCAAATACCCAGTCCTGGAATTACTGGACTGTAGGGTATTTCTGATTTTAGTTTTTTGAGGAACCTCCATCCTCTTTTCCAGAGTGGCTGTACCAGTTTACATTCCCACCGCAGTGCTTGAGGGTTCTTTTCTTTGCATCCTCGCCAACACTTGTTACAATTTCTTGTTTCTTGATACTGACTGCTGTCTGTTCTTGATAGCTATTCTAAAATGAGTAAGGAGAGATCTCATTGTGGTTTTGATTTGCGCTTCCCTGATGATGAGTGATGCTGAACATCTTTTCACATGTCTGTTGGCCATCTGTATGTCTTCTCTGGAAAAATGTCTCTTCAGAACCTCTGCCCACTTTTTTTTATTACGTTGTATTTTTGGTGTTGAGTTGTATAAGCTCTTTATATATTTTAGATATTAACCCCTTAGCAGATAGATTGTTTGCAAGTATCTTCTATTCACTAGGATGCCTTTTTATTTTGTTGGTTTTCTTTACTGTGAAAAAGCTTTTCGTTTTGGTCAAGTCCCAATATAGTATATTTTTGCTGTTGTTTCTTGTGCCTGAAGAGACCTATACATAAATATGTTGCCAAGGGCAATGTTCGAGAGATTACTACCTATGTTTTCTTTTAGGATTTTTATGGTTTCAGGTCTCACATTTAGGTCTTTAATCCATTTTGAGTTTATTTTTGTGTATGGTTTAAGAAAGTGGTCCAGTTTCATTCTTTTGCATGCAGCTGTCCAGTTTTTCCCAACACCATTTATTGAAGAGATTGTCTTTTCTCCATTGTATATTCTTGCTTCCTTTGTCATAGGTTAATTGACCAAATAGATGTTGGTTTATCTCTGGGGTTTCTATCATGTTCCATTGATCTATAGGTCTATTTTTGTGACAGTAGTATGCTGTTTTGATTACTGTACTTGTAGTATATCTTGAAACCTGGGATTGTGACACCTTCAGCTTTGTTCTTCTTTCTCAAAATTGCTTTGGCTAGTCAGGGTCTTATGTGGGTCTTAGAGATTTTAGGATTATTTGTTGCAGTTCTGTGAAAATGCTTTTGGTTTTTGATAGGGATTGTGATAAATCTGTAGATTACTTTGGGTAGTATGAATGTTTAACAATATTCTTCCAATCCATGAGCATGGTGTATCTTTCTACTTGTTCGTGTCATCTTCAATTTCTTTCATCAGTGTCTTATAAGTTTTCAGAATATAGGTCTTTCACCTCCTTGATTAAATTTATTTCTAGGTATTTTACTCTTTTTGGTGCAGTTACAAATGGGATTGTTTGTTTTCTTAATTTCTCTTTCTGCTACTTAATTATTAGTGTATAGAAATGCAACAGATTTTTGTATATTAATTTTGTATCCTGAAACTTCACTGAATTATCAGTTCCAATAGTTTTTTGGTGAAGTCTAGCATTTTCTATGTATAGTATCATGTCATCTGCAGATAGTGACAGTATTACTTCTTCCTTACCAATTTGGGTGTCTTTTATTTCTTTTTCTTTTCTGATTGCTGCAGCTAGAATTTCCAATATTTTGTTGAATAAAAGTGGTGAGAGTGGACATCCTTGTCTTGTTTTTGTCTTAGAGGAAGAGTTCTCAGTTTTCATTATTGAGTATGATGTCAGTTGTGGGTTTGTCATATATGGCTTTTATTATGGTGAGGTATGTTCCCTTTTACCCCACATTGTTGAGAAGTTTTAACATGAATGCATGTTGTAGTATGTCAAATGCTTTTTCTGCATTCATTGAGTTTTTTTTTATTCTTGTTTATGTGATATCATACTGATTAGTGAATAGTGAACCACACTTGTGTCTCTGGAATAAATTCCCCTTGATCATGCTAAATGATTTTTTTAATGTACGTTGAATTCAGTCTGTTATTCTTTTGTTAAGGATTTTTGCATCTTTGTTCTTCAGAGAGATTGGCCTGTATTTTTTTCTTTAAAATTTTTTTATTGTTATGTTAATCACCATACATTACATCATTAGTTTTTGATGTAGTGTTCCATGATTCATTGTTTGTGTATAACACCCAGTGCTCCGTGCAGAACGTGCCCTCTTTAATACCCAGGCCCGTAGTTTTCTTTTTACTAAATGTCTTTGTCTGGTTCTGGGATCAAGGTAATGCTGGCCTCATAGAGGAATTTAGAAGTTTTACTTCCTCTTTTATTTTTTAGCATCATTTGAGAAGAATAGGTATTAACTCTTATTTAAATGTTTTGTAGAAGTTACCTGTGAATCCATCTGGTCCTTGATTTTTGTTTGGAACTTTTTGACTGATTCAATTTCATTACTAGTAATTGGTCTGCTCAGATTTTCTATCTCTTCCTGATTTAGTTTTGGAAAATTGTATGTTTCTGGGAATTTATCCATTTCTTCTAGATTGTCCAATTGTTTGGCAGATAATTTTTCAACATTTTCTTATAATTGTTTGTATTTCTGTGATATTATTTCTCCTCCTTCATTTCTGACTTTGAGTCTTCTCTCTTAAGTCTGGCTGAAGACTTACCAGTTTTGTTTATCTTTCCAAAGAACCAGGTCTTGGTTTCATTGATCTTTTTTTTTTTTTTTAAATTTCATTTATATCTGCTCTAATCTTTATTATTTCCTTCTACTGGCTTTGGACTTTGTTCTTCTTTTTCTAGTTCCTTTAGGTTTAAGGTTAGGTTTTTTTATTCTTTAATATGATATTTTTCTTGTTTCTTGAGGTAGGCCTAATAGCACTATAAATTTCCCTCTTAGAACTGCTTTTGCTGATTCCCAAAGATTTTAGACTATTGTCTTTTCGTTTGTTTCCATGAATTTTTGATTTCATCTTTTCTTTTTCATTGACCCATTGGTTAATTAGTAGCATGTTGTTTAACCTCCATGTATTTGGCTTTTTTTTTCTTCCATTTTTCTCTTGTAATATTGATTTGTAGTTCCATACCATTTAAGTTGGGAAACATGCTTGATATGATTTCAATCTTCTTAAATACAGTGAGACTTGTTCTATGGCCTAACATGTTATGTATACCAGAGAATGTTTCATGTGCACTTGAAAAGAATGTGTGTTGCTACCTTGAGTTTTGTTCTTTTTTTCCACTTCCATTTGCATGGTTTATGTTTTTTCATCCCTTCACTTTCAGTCTGTAAGTGTCATTATGTGTGAAGTGAGTCTCTTGTAGGCAGCATATAGCTGGGTATTGTTTTCTTACTCATTTGCCATATGTCTTTTGATTGGAGTATTTAGTTTATTTACATTTAAAGTAATTATTATAGATACTTACTGCCATTTTGTTAATTGTATTGATTGTTTTTGTAGTTCTCGATTCCTTCCTTTTTCTCTTGCTCTCTTCCCTTGTGGGTTGATGATTTTCCTTAGTGATATGGTTGGATTCCTTTCTCTTGTGTGTGTGTGTGTGTATCACAGGTTTCTGATTTGTGGTTACCATTGGGTTCTACATTGAGTTGAGGGTCACTTAAGTTCAACACATTGTAAAACTACTAAAAGTAACTCCCACCTCCATGTTTTATGTATGTGATGTTTTTATTTTGTGTCTCCCTTGGCTAATTTTTCTAATTTTGATTGTACTACTTTGTAAGTTTTAAACTCCACAGTGGCTTTACTCTATGATTGCCTTTTACCTGTAAAATTTTTCTCCTTTTATAATTTTTTTTTCTAGTGATGGCCTATTCTTTCCATTTAAAGAATTCCCTTTAACATTTTTTGTAAGCCTGATTTATTGGGATGAACTCCTTTAACTTTTGTCAGGAAAACATTTCTCTCCTGTTTTGAATGATATACTTTCTGGGTAGAGTATTCTTGGTTGTAGGTTTTTTTGTTTGTTTTAGCACTTTGAATATAGCATGCTCCTCCCCTCTGGCCTGCGAAGGTTCTGCTGAAAATCAGCTGATTGATTGATTGCCTTATTTGGCTTTCCTTTTATCTTTACTTTTTGCCATTTTAATTATTATGTGTCTTGGTGTGGACCTCCTTGGGTTCATCTTGTTAGGGGTGGTTCTTCCTGGACGTTGCTTCTTTCCGCAGGTTAGGGAGAAGTTTTCAGCCCCTTCTTCTCCTTCTGGGATCCCTAAAATGTGCATGTTACTATGCCTGATGATGCCACAGAGTTCCCTTAACCTCTTCTTTTTTCTTCTTGTTCAGCTGAGTTGTTTTCCATTACCGCCTTCCATATCACTGATCTGTTCTTCTGCATCTTCTGGTCTACTGTTGATTCCATTTAGCGTATTTTTAGTTCAGTTATTAAATTCATCAGCTCTGACTGGTTCTTTCTACATTTTCTGTCTCTTTGTTGAAGGTCTCACTGAGATCCTCTGCTCTTTTCTCAAGTCTAGTGAGTATCTCAGTGATGATAATTTCTTTGAATCGTCTATCACACATATTTTCATTTCATTTGGGACATATTCCTCTGTCTCCTCATTTTGTCTGTGTTTGTTTTTAATGTAGTAGGACAGTCAGCTATGTCCCCTGGTCTTGAAAGTAGTGGCCTTGTTGTCAAAAGAGGTCCTGTGGTGTCCTATAGTGCAATCACCCCCTGGTTACCAGAACCAGGCATTCCAGGGGTGTCCTCGGTGTGGGCTGTGTGTGCCTCCCTATTGTGGCTGAGTCACAAATGCCTTCAGACCAGCCAGCCGCAATGATCCCGTCTCCCTGCTCTGAGTGTCCTGGGTAGAGTTGAGGCCAGTCTGAAGCAGTGACAGGCTTGGTGAATTGGGCCAGCAGTGAGCCCAGCTGTCGTCTGCAATTAGTCCCTCTGTGTAGACACAGCTACAGGTACACTGAAGGGCAGGGCTTGCTTCTTGCCCAGCCAGCTATGAGGCTTGACTGCAGGGACTGCAAGTGTGCTGTCATAGGGTCTTCTCTCCTCGCTCCCCAGGGCATGAGTCACTTTGGAGTGGCACCCTCCAAGTGGGTATGGTGGGACAGGAGCCACTCTGAAGGGAGGACTGCTGAGTTGGGCTGGCTGGGGAAGAGCACACAGTGCTATAGCAAAGTAGATGGAGAGTGTTAGCGCTACCTGTCACAAACATCCAGCTATCTAGGCCTTGGGGCGGGAAGGGGGAAGAGGAATGGCACCTACCAGCACTTTTGTTTCTAGAGAAATATCCTGTACACCCCTGCCTGGGGACAGATCTAATCTGCCCAGGACAGATTAGTCAATATATCTCCTTCACATATAACTGCAGGCACTTTTCAAACTGTTGCATCTTTAAGGATGATGGAGACTCAGTTTCCTATTGCCCTCGGGCTCTCCTGGAACTAAGGCCCACTGGAGTTAAGATCTGTTTCTAAAGCCAGATATTAGGTGGACTCATCTTCCTAGTGCTGGGGTTGCCTAGGGTGGAATCAGATCCTCGTGCTTCCCCGTGCGTGTGATGTCCCTTCTGTTTGTAGTTAGTGGCACAGGGGTTTGGTTTCCAACTATGTCTCCATCCTACCTACCCTTTTCAAAGTGGCCTGCTCTCTACAATTAACTGTGGCAGGTCTGTTCTGCCAATCTTCAGGTGGTTTATCTCAATGTGTCTGAGGGATAAGGTGAGTTCAGGATCCTCCTACTCTAAACTCGGCAAATGGATTACATTTTGCCTTTCCTAGTGGACTGGAATACTAGTCTTTGAATCCATTGATCACTTTATAGGTTTCCTCGTTAATGGCCCTTCATTAGTAGTCTTTGACACATGTCTATTCCATATTCACACTGAAGTCATGTTTTCTAAACTTTCTGAAAAGTAAACTAACACTGATACCATACAGGCCTGCTTCCTTCGGGTAGTGTGTAGAAAAGAGCAGGCTCGGCTGCTATCTTTTGAAAGCCTGCTTCTGAAGCTGGTCCATGGCTAGTATCTGGGAATTGGATTAACTGGTGAGAGTGGCTCATGGTGCCTCAACTGTACAAACAATATGGTTTATACTGAACATCTGCTTTCCTTGTAGGAGCCTGGAATTTTGGTATGTGCCAGGTAGAGGGGGGTCTTTGTGACCACAACCCTGGGCACTGAGACTCTAAGGAGGGTCCCTGGTAGCCTACATTTCACACATGTTGTAACCAGTTGTTGCTGGGGGATTTCAATGCATCCTGGGAGAAAACTTAGAAGCTAGTGCTGGTTTTCTGTGGCCTTTGTCCTATGTACCTTTTCCTGATTTTATTTAGTAACTATGAGCTCAGGAGTGCAACTATATAGTAAGTCTTGTGGGTCCTCCTAGCAAATCACTGAATCTGGGGATGGGCCTGAGGACTCCCTGACAGTTAGTTACAAGCCTTTTTACATAACTGTTTTTTTTTTAACAAAAACTGTTAAAATTCTAATGTGTTCTCTTAAAAACTGGTTAGATCCTTTGATATAACCAAGGCCTCAATTTCCCTCCTAAGGTCATCAAATGAAAACCTTCTATTTCCTCTCTAAAACCCAAATATTTGAAATCAACTCACTGGTGTCTGGGTATGATCCATCAGGGCAGTGGATAACACAGCTGTTGATTTCTTCATTTAGGAAGTATCCATATTTACAGGACAGGCACTGGTCACCATGGCTTCCAAAGCAGGACTCACAGTTGGGGGCACACTTTCTGCATCGCTTCTTGTCAGCATGGTAGTGGCCAGAGGGGCAGCTGGAGACACAGATCCTGCATTGTGGAATGGTAAGAAAGAAGGACAGCATCATTGGAAACAGAGTCCCGGGCATTCTTGGAGATGCTCAAGCAAGAGCAGCCTTCCATCTTAAACCCCGACGGTAACACCATATCCAAAGAGCCAAATTCTCTGTGTAGGGTTCTGAAGTGGCAAGGTGGCCACCCAATACCAAGTCTGCCAAGTAAGGCATGTCTTGGTCCAAACCCCATCTTCCGGTTCAGGACTAGCTCTTTAAAGGGGACAATGGTTAGAAACTAGAGGCTCAAGAGGAAAGGTTGTGGCATGGGGTTGAAAGGAAACTATGATTTTATACAAAAAAGGTTGCTAATAAGGGGTTACTTCTGTTTTCGTGTGTTGTCCTATGGATCCTGTGCGCTAGGGGCTGTATGCTATTGTCTAAGTTAATCGATTTAAACTTGGTTGGTTATGATACATTTAAAAAAAAAAAGAACTTCCTTAACTGAAGGACAGCACTTTGTTTATTCATTCAACAAATATTTACTACTGAGTACCAAGTAAAATGTCAGGCATGTTGCTGGGCTCGGCGATGAGAGGTCCTGCAGTAGCCAAGGGCCCTTCCTTTAAGGAACAGAAATTCCAGCATGCATGTAAACAGGAACTAGAATGGGTCTGGGTCTGTCTGGATGGCTGAAGTGTGGACTCACTGTAGTAGGACGGAAAAGGGGGCAGGGCTCTGAGAGAGATGCCCGGAGTGGACAGCCTCTGAGGGGCCATCACTGTCCCAGGAGCCTCCCTGCAGACAGATCAGCACAACTTGAAGCAGAAGCCAGGGGCTCAGAGTTACGGTGACCAAGCAGGTCCGCCTCAGTGCCCAGAGTGAAAGAGGATGAGCAGGGCCCACCACCAGGAAGGCATCTGTTGGGCTGGATGCTGGCATTTTCATGAAAGGCAAACAGAGCTCTAGCATCAGACATCCATGGGATGGAAAGGTCTAAAGGGCTAGTCCAAATGTGAGCAAAGACATTTGCAGCTTGACAGCATACAGCATATGGGTTTCCGCATTTGGAATGACACTGGGAGTCAGGGGCTGGGGCAGCAGCCTCTGTTCTGTGCTTGGGTCCTGGTAGGAGAATGTCAGCAGACGCCGCTCGAACACAGCTCGAGTGCAGCCCGTGGGACCACCTGGAGCGTGCTGTGGGGTCGGGGGGGCGCGGGGATTGGACTCAGGATCCTTCTTACCTGGTGTTGTTTTTCAGTTTGTAGTAGTAGTTTAAGCAGTCACTGCAGTGGTCTGGTCCTGGCCCATCACAGCCGACCTCACTGCACTCAGGGTCACAGGGACCTTTTCAAAAAAAAAAAAAAAAAAACTTAGGAAAATATGATTTTAAAGCAGGTCTATTTTACCTTGAATTTTTCCTTCCTTATGCAGTGAGAGTTTCTCTAAGGTGGAGGAATAATGTGTAACATGGCTCTAAGCACGGAGATGAACTCCTATTACCGAAGTATCAAGAATGTAAATCCAGCCGTGGCTTGGTCTCCAAAAAAGCACATACGGCTGCCTTGTGGGAGATGATAACACATATCTCCGAATTCAAAGGAACAATGCCACTCTGGTAACTGCAAGAGAACTGATGGCAAATATGCATAATGATAAAAATGTCGGATTTACAGAAAAATGACAAGTTAAGCTGTTGACAGAAAAAAGTTTATTATTCCACGCCTGGACCAGATTGTCTGGCTTGCCGACGGTCATTAAGACCACGGAATACCTCTGAGATGCTGTAGCCAGCAAGAAACATCATTATGGCATCTGGTGCAAGCTTATCAGTATCTGGTCTTGGATTACAAAGCAGCCACTTAAGGCATAAGATAATAGATTTTTTTAAAATTTAATTTGATTTATGTCACCATACAATACATCATTAGTTTTTTGATGTAGTGATCCATGTGGTAGGACACAATTTTAAAATCTAATAGATTTTAAGGGCAGTGGGCAACTCAACAAAAGAAAGCGAGACAAATTTTTAAAAATGCAAGCAAGCTTAAAGAATTCCAGACCTAGGATGAAAGTTGCTAATCTCTCATGACATATTCTTTGGTCTAGAGTTAGAATGTACAGACGGGAAGAAAAAAATGCCAGAAAGATGGGAGATTTTTATAATTGATGAAAAGCTTTCTGATGACATGGGCTAGACCTTTTGCTTGCTTGAACTAACTCCCTTTTTCCTTGTTCTCCATACTTTAGGACATTTGGTCTTGTAATCTTCAAGCCCTTTCCTGTTGAAAATACACATGATTTTAAGTAGTAATAAACATGCACAGAATGTACAAACATTAAGTTATGTCAGAAATGTCTGAACCATACTGATTTGAATCAAAAGGATTACTTGATCTTGAAACTTGATCTCCTTTAGTCATTATAGGATTCTGTTCTATTGTTACTGAGTCGGAATATAAAATGGTAGAACCTGGGAGGAATGACTGGGAGAAAAGTCTAGTATTCAAACAAACACCCTCGTTTACCTGGTGAGAAAACATACTTTCCAAGAATTAGAGTGGCTTGTCCAGATAATACAGCCCAGGAGCCCTGGGATCAACATGGGTCCCCCGTCTTACTCCAGCTCTCCTACATAGAAGTAGTAAATCAGGTACTAGCGATGACCTTTCAAAATGAATGCACACTTGAGATATATTTCTGATTAATCACGAGTCATCTGACAGCACTGTTTCTTTGTTCCCCCAAGCCTTAAAACTGATCTCTAAATTCCACAGCGAGTATAACTTGGGACCTTTCAGCTCTCTGCTACAATAGAGGAGAGGGTGTCTCTGTATGTAAGGGTTGGAGCTCAGCCAGCTGTGGGTCCTACAGCCCCTGGAATTTGATGAAACAGTACTAGGGATCTGGTTATGCTAATACCATCTGTGCCTTTAGCCAGGCTGACTTCTTCACGAAGGTGAAAATCACAGCTCTGAAGAAAAGGAATCATGGGTGGCCCTAAATTTTCACCAGATGATTTCTGCAATTAACCCCCCCCCCAAATTATGCTTTATACGTGCCAAAGGGCTCCGTATGGCCAGTTCACATGCTGTGCTGTTTCTTTTATAATCTTAACCTGTCCCAGATGCAATTTAGCATTTTAGGTTGCAGGGTAATAATGAAATAATTGTCTTTGTTCTCTCACAAGTGCCAATGTGAACATTTTGGAGATGTTAACAGGAAAAACCACGGAGATAGAGAACCGTTTGTTCAGAATTTTAAGATTACCAAAATGTGAATTAGAAACCTACCAGAAGGCATATAGCAACAGGTTAGTAGGCTCAGTTTATGTTTTTTGGATATCCTTTCTCCTATCAGAGAAGATGAAATGGTTTGCTCGTTATAACGTGAATAGTAATGTTACAAGCTCAAAACATAATGAGCTAATCTAACACAATCGAGCTCAGTTGGCTCAACTGGTTTGAATTATTCCAGCTTAGGATGGACTCTGGGATAGTACCTGTTTAGAATAAAAGGAACCATGTGCATGTTTAAGATATTCTACTAAGGTGACTAATGAAGTACTTTTATCTTTAGCTCATTAAGTGTTATGTCATATCCCAGGAGCACTGAATGCTTCTTTAAGTGGTAGTCAATGGAACAAGATGCGTACTGCATGGAGCGCTGGGTGTTATACAAAAACAAAGAATCGTGGATCACTACATCAAAAACTAGTGAAGTACTGTGTGGTACCAGAAGAGACCCTGGTGTAAGAATTTATTCTATTATAAAGGAAAGATCCTGGGGCACCTGGGTGGCTCAGTTGGTTAAGCGTCTGCCTCTGGCTCAGGTCATGATCTCAGGGTCCTGGGATTGAGCCCGGCATCTCCCGCTCCAATAAATATTTAAAAATGAAGGGAAGATCCTAAACTAGTAAAAGAAGGGATGATGACCCAGCCAATAATGTTAGTCTATTTATTTTATCTCCTACTATATATCATAAACCAAAATAAGTTCCAGATGAATGGCCAAATGTAAAAAGCAGAGATTAGAAAAAAATGCATGTGGATATTTAGTTGATTTTAAAGACTAAAACTTCCTAAAAAAGATCTGAAACTATAAACCCTGACCTCCAATTTTCTTTTTCCATCAAAACACAAAACCAAAACTACATTTTGGAAGCAAGCAATAACTGAGGAAATGGTTTCAGCAAATACAGTAGTTCTTCCTCCCACTTACCTGCGGGGGATACTTTCCAAGCCCCTCAGTGGATGCTTGAAACCATGGATAGTACCAAACCCTATATATACTATGTCTTTTTCCTATACATACATACCTGTGATAACATTTAATTTTTAAATGAGGCACAGTGAGAAACTAATAACATAGAACAATTATATCAATATACTATGATGAAAAGATGTGAATATATGTGAATGTGGTCTCTCTCAAATCTTATATGGTATTTATCTGACTTCTTGTGACAGTGTGAGATGCTAGAATGCCTACAGGATGAGATGAAGTCAGGGGAATGACGTGGGCGTGGTAACGTAGCATTATGCTACTACTGACCTGACGATCTAGCAGATGGAAGATCAGCTGCTCCCTGACCGTTAATAATGGGATACTACTTAGTAGTAGTATTACTACTAGGAAACCACAGATAAGGGGGAACTACTGTATGGAAAAATGTGAGAGACAATAACATACAAAGAGCTCTTATAAGAAAATTGGTGTCAATTTGAATAGAAAAATGGGTAAAATACAATTATGTTTAATTCCTAGAACTACAGAGGAAAACATGATTTACTAATAAAGCTATAAATGTTCTTTTTTTTTTCAACTTTTTTCTTTCCATTCAATTTTGGCATGAATGAGTATAATAAATGCACAGCTGGTCACAGCGTAGACTGGTATATCTTGTCTGGAAAGGATTGTGACAAAGTGTGTCCAAGCTCTCAAACTGATTATTCCCTTTGCTGCAGTAATTCTCAGAACTCCATTCTAAGGAAATAATTAAAGATAAAATAATGATGTTCATCCAAACCTTATTTAAAATAGTGTAAAATTCCAAGCAAACTACACATCCCAGCTTATGTATTAAATGTAGTACAATCATAGGATGGACTGTTATATCGTTGTGAGGATATGTGACAACAGGGAAATACGCTCTTAATAACCACAAGAGAAAGAAAAAGGATATGGAAACTCTGTATAGTGTGCTTTTGGCTTTGAAGAAAACAGTGCTATCTGAATATACACATGCAAATATTTGGGGGCATAGAAAAGAAGATGGAAGAAACTGTATCAGAATATTGGTAGAAGTTGATCTCTGCATGGTGGGGTGATGCACGAGAGTTCTCTCCTTAGCCTGTGTCCCTGTTGGAAACCAACTTACCTGCATAATCCTCGGTACCATAGTCATCGGTGGGGTCTTCTACTCGGCTATAGCGGACACGTTCTACTTTAGGAAACTCATTGGTTGGTGAGTATGGCTGCACGGAGGTGCCATAGAGGACCAAAGACCATTCTTTCAATTTCCCTTGAAAAACAATAATGAAATGATAGCATGACCACACATTCCCTCTTGAGCTTTACAATTTAATTCCTTCTCATTAAGAAAAAGCAACAGAAGAATTGTGGCAAGCATATTCATATTAATCATAGCATGAGGTGCGTAGCTAGAAATGTACATTTTCCACCAGTTGAAGAATTAACTAATAATTGACATATTTACTGAGCACCAACTATAGGAAAGCCTTAATTTAATCAGCTTTTATAAGAAGACCGAGAAATGAACCCCTCTCAGATAGCTGGATCAAGGGCTGAATTTCAAATTATGGATATTTTAAAAGAGAACCCCAGAATTTTACAGAGGCCTTTGCTTTTCTACATATAAATACCATATTTGAATTTTTAAAAAAAATTTCGTGTTATCTGACTTGTTTATCAATAAGACAAAACAACTACTTTGTTCCACCTAACTAACTGAATTAGTCATTTAGTCTTAAGAATACATCACTATTTATACTATGCTATAGACCTGAGCTGTCCAGTGATAGCCTCTAGACATTTGGCTATTTAAAATTTAAAAATTTAGTTCCTCAGTCATACCACATTTCAAGTGCTCAATAGCCATATGTGGCCAGTGGTCACTACAATGGATACCACAAATATAGAGTGTTTCTACCACGGCAGAAGGTTCGAGTGGACAATGCTGCAATAAAGCTTTGTCTGGTCAAGGGTGCCTTGAGTGAGACAGGAGCCACGTGTTTTAACTCCTTTGCAGAGAAGGTTCTCAAAGAACATTTTGCTTTAGTCCTTTCTTTTTGTGTTAAAGCTAAGAAAAACTTCTTACATGTCACTAAGCTTAATAAGATTCACATAAAGAATTAACCAAAAGCAGAAGTGATTGAAACAAACCCATTAAAAACATGGAAGTATGCTGGTAGGAAGCAGAACCTTCCTGAAGGTCCCTCCTCCACTTAGCCGAATACAGAGAATCTAGGCATGGTTGGGGCCAGGGTTCTGTCACAGCCCTGAGAGTGGTGAACTTGAGGTGTCAGCTGATCTATTAAGTTTGAATCCATTCAATGTTCACAACAATTGGGAGGTAGGCACTTGAATTCCCAATATATAGATGAGGAAACAGGCATAGAGGGTGATAATTTTCTCAAAGGCACTAAGAGTACAGACTGCTATTAAAACCCATCTGGGGGTTCCAGTTTAAGATGACAGCGTATGAAGATCCTGAACCCACCTCTTCCTACAGACTCACTGAATCTACAGCTACATAGGGGACAAGTTCCTCTGAACAAGAAAACAAAACCAATAGGCTGAGTGGCTCCTACACAATAGGCAAACAAAAAACCCACAGGAAAGCAGGTAAAAGAGGCCGAGACACAATATTGCAATAAACCCCACCCCTGGCACTGTGACCCACAATCAGGACTCACAACCCCAAAGTTTCTCCCCAAGAAGCAAAAGCTTTGAACCCCATATTGGGCACCACAATTTTTAAGACCTGCTCCCGAGATGAGTCCCCAAAACATCTAGCTTTGAAAACCAATAGGGCTTGAGACCCACAAGGCTATAGTGAACTGACTAAAGAGCTTGCATGTGTGGACCCACCCACTCCAAGGCTAGGGCAGAGGCAGCCAATTGAAAAGCATGGACTTTCTGTGAAAGAGGCTTGTTTACTGTAACATACAGCTAGGGGCCTACTGAAATATTCTCCAGTGGGCACCATCTTTGCTCTCTCCCTCAGTCTTGCTCCAACTCACTAGTATCTCCCAGAAGGAACCTGTTCTCTCATCTGGGACCCCAATTTTTATGGCTGCCTCTCAGGGCACACCTCTTGGTTGTTGGCACTGGTGGCCGGCAGGGCTTATGTTTACTGGTAACACAGGACTGTAAACAAAATTGACAGATCTATTCTTAAGCTCACCCAGGAGAGAGAATCAAAATCAGAAATGAAAGAAGAAGGGGGCAACTAGGTGGCTCAGTTGATTAAGCATCCAACTCGATTTCAGCTCAGGTCATGATCTCAGGGTGGTGAGATGGAGCCCCACTTTGGGCTTCATGCGGAGCGTGGAGCTTGCTTAAGATTCTCTCCCTCTGGGGCCCCTGGGTGGCTCAGTTGGTTGGGCGACTGCCTTCGGCTCGGGTCATGATCCTGGAGTCCCGGGATCGAGTCCCGCATCGGGCTCCCTGCTCAGCGGGGAGTCTGCTTCTCCCTGTGACCCTCTTCCCTCTTGTGCTATCTCTCATTCTCTCTCTCAAATAAATAAAATCTTTAAAAAGAAAAAAAAAAAAAGATTCTCTCCCTCTGTCCCACCCCCAGCTCATACTCTCTCTCTCAAAAAAAAAAAGAGGTGAGGTTATAACTAAAATAAGAATAAAAACCATGAAAATATAAAGTATTATAAAAGACTATCATCAATTACACACCAACAAAATGAACAACCTAGAAGAAATGAGAAATGGATAAATTTTTAGACCTATACAACCCACTAAGACTGAATCATTAAGAAACAGAGAATCTGAAAAGAACAATTACTAGTAAAGGGATGGAATCAGTAATAAAAAAAAAAGAAAACCCTCTCAATAAAGAAATAACCAGAACTACATCTTCTCTGGTCAGTTCTACCAAATATTTAAAGGAATACCAGTCCTTCTTAAACTCTTCCAAAATATAGAAGAAATATTTCCAAACTCATTTTATGAAGCTAGCTAGCATTACCCTGATCCCAAAACCAGATAAAGATGCCACAAGAAAATCCCTGAACACAGATGCAAAAGTGCTCAACAAAAAAATTAGCAAACTGAATTCAACAATACATTAAAGGGATCATATATCATCAACAAATGAGATTTATTCCAGGGATGCAAGAATGTTTCAACATTGACAAACCAATCAATGTGATTCACAACATTAACAAAATTAAGGATAAAAATCATATGATCACCTCAATACATGCAGAAAAAGTATTAACCTACTTCAACATCTATGATAAAAGCTCTTATCAAAGTGTGTATGGGGGAATAATGAGCATCATAAAGATCAGGAACAAGACCCTCACCACTTTTAGTCAACATAGTATTAGAAGTCCTAGCCAGAATAATTAGACAAGAAAAAGAAAGGGCATTCAAATTAGGAAGAAGTATGTCACTATTTGCACATGACATGGTAGTGTATATGAAAAACCATTGATGTACCACCAAAAACTGTTAGAACTAATCAACAAATTCACAAAAGCTGTAGGATACAAAATCTTTTGCATGTCTATACACTAATAATGCACTATGAAAAAGAGAAAGAAAATCTTATTTATAATTGCATCAAAAAGAATAAAATGCTTAGGAATTTAACCAAGGGGGTAAAAGACCTGTACACTGAAAATTATAACACATGATGAAAAAATTGAAAACACAAATAAATGGAAAGATATTCTGTGCTCATGGATGAGAATATTATTAAAATGTCCATACTACCCAAAGCCACCTATAGATTCAATGTAATCCCTATCAAAATTCCAATGGCATTTTTTGTTTAAATAGTACAATCCTAAAGTTTTTATGAAACCACAAAAGGCCAAATCATTCTTGAGAAAGAAAAATGAAGCTGGAGGCATCATGCTTTCTGATTTTCAAATATAAAGCTGTGGTAATCAAAACACTATGGCTTTGCCATAAAGCAGACACATAGATCAATAGAACAGAATAGCACACAGAAATAAACTCATGCATATATGGTCAATTACGAATACACAATTGGGAAAGGATTTTAGTAAATGATGCTGGGAAAACTGGACAGCCACATGCAGAATAACGAAACTGAACCACTATCTTACAACAGACACAAAAACTCACTCAAAATGGAGGCGCCTGGATGGCTCAGTCAGTTAAGCATCTACCTTTGGCTCAGGTCATGATCCCAGGGTCCTGGGATCCAGCCCCATGTCAGACTCCCTGCTCAGGGTGGAGTCTGTTTGTCCCTCTCCCTCTGCTCCTCCCTCCCACTCATGCTCACTCTCTCTTTCTCTCAAATAAAATCTTAAAAAAAAAAAAAAAAGAAACTCTAAATGGATTAATGATTTGAACATAAGACCTGAAACCATAAAACTCCTAGAAGAAACACAGGTGGTAAGCTCTTTGCCATCGGTCTTGGTGATAATTTTTTCGGATTTGACCAAATGCAAAGGCAACAAAAGGAAAATAAGTCAAAGTATATCAAACTAAAAAGCTCCACATGACAATGGAAACCATCAACAAGATGAAAAAGCAAGCAACCTACTGAATGGGAGAGAATATCTGCAAATCATATATCTCATAAGAGGTTAATATCCAAAACATAGAATGAACTCCTACAACTCAATATCAGAAAAATAATCTGATTAAAACATGGGTAGGGAATATGAATAGACATTTTTCCAAAGATGACATATATGTGGCCAAGAGGCATGTGAAAAGGTGGTCAACATTACCAATTGGGGAAATGCAAATCAAACCGCAATATCACCTTACACCTATTAGAACAGCTATTACCAAAAAGACAAGAAATAGCAAGTGTTAGTGGAGATGTGGAACAAAGGGAACCCTTGTGCACTCGCAGTGGGAATGTGAATCAGTGCAGCTGTGATGGAAACCGCTATGGAGGTTTTTCAAAACATTAACAACAGAACCACCATGTGATTCAGCTATTCCACTTCTGGGTATTTATCTGAAGAAAACAAAAGCATTGACTTGTAAAAGTTTATGTATTCCCATGTTCAAAGCAGCATTATTCACAATAGCCAAGATACGGAAACAACCTATGTGTCCATTGATGGATAAATAATAAAAATGTGGTACTTTTTTTTTAACCAGTGGTAATAATACAGTAGAGCAATATTCAGCCGTAGAAAGGAAGGAAATATTGCCATTTGTGAAAATATTGCTGGGTCTTGAAGGTCTTTGTGAATTGAAAAGTCAAAGACAAAAACTATATGATCTCACTTATATGTTGAATTTAAAAAAAATAATGAAAAAAAAACAAAACAA